TTACGTACTACGGCCTCGCCATTCACGAGTATTTTCTACTACGGCGTGTTACAAAAAGCTAGATACTTAAATGAATGGCATCCGTGTGCGGCAGTGACAATTGGACGGCTGATTGTTACTTTTGCACAAAGAGTTTGAAGGAGAGCTGTCTCCTCTCTGTATTCACTTGAAAGTCTTTTGAAAATGTTCGGATTTTCGCTTCTTCTGAAGTTATCACAACGTCGAACACACTGGGCGACTCGCGGCAGTCGAGAACAATAATTCAGTATATTTCAGTATTTTTTTTTGCTGTTGTTGTTTTCGTTTCTTTCAGGGGGATGACGATGGGCAGTGTATTTCGTGGAGGGGTTTCTGGAGGTGAAAGGAGACGAGTTGAAGACAGAGACAGAGTGTTGCATACGCCCGGCCCGGACCTCGTATTTTCACTAGGAAAATCGTACAGAATGATGAGAATGACACACCCCCACTACGTTACTACCCCGAAATATTGATCCGGTGCGGGCGCAGCCGCCCGTAAGGGCACACACGTATGAAACAACCCCTAGGATAACACGCCGCTAGTATTTATACTATTTTTGCACACACACACACTGGATTTCTTTTATTAACAACACCCACCGAGGACGCTTCAAACCAGACCGGCTATTTTTATATATTTATGTAGATGTAAAAATATGAAATACATTTTATTCCACTCGAAAAAATTCAATCAATCTGAATATTTTATTTGCATCGCCGCTTATGCAATTAAAGCTCGTACAGTAAAATTCAATTCGCATTTGCGGCATAAAAACCGATCGCAATTGAATCTTTCAGCTTCAGCTGTCGATTAACGTGCACATTACATCATGAATTCGATATTTCAATTTGAAAACTTCAACTAATCGTACTTGAAAAATCATCGGTAATTGAACTTTAATTAAATGAATATAATTAAATTTAAAGTAATATTAAAAAAAAATACTTAATGAAATATTAATACTACATTGTAGTAATGTAAATTACGTCCATAATAATAGAGTTAATTGAAAAGTTCATCGACATAAACAAAATTATGTTATTTATAAAGTTTATAAAACAAACAAAAAGTTAACATGCTGCCATATAACAAATATTGTTACATACGTACATTGTTTAGTTGTGGAAAGCTTCCATCTAGTAAGGATGCTGCATTTATTGACAACCGATCAAATAGAAAGGTAAACTATTATATAATATGAGTTGTTTTATAAGTGTTGATTAATCAATAAAAACAAAATAACATGAATTTTGATTCAAATAAGTTTTCTTTGTTACAGTAGAAACTCTCTAATTGATGATGTTAATTAAAATAGCTGTTTGAATCTACGATTAAATACCCCTATTATCTAATTTAATTATCTTTCAATCCGATGACTGTGGAAAGTATTTTGCATTTAATCAAAAAATTTAATTAAATTCGGTAAAAAAAATGTTAATTGCATCGAGCGTCGTGCTTGCTTTCTTTTTATATTCAATTCTCGCTCCGTTCAATTCAATTAACTGCAGCAGTATATAAGATGTCAATAAAGCGGAACTTGGTGGAAAGGCAAACGGAAAAGTGTAATGCTTCGACGGTAGCCGAAGATAAGGCTTATGAACTTGAGTAGTCCTTTTATTTGGTATTGGAACCGCCGATGATTCAATAGAAAACGAAAGAAGAGGGAAACAAGAAAGAACAAAAAAAGGTAAAAAGAGGGAGGAACACGCGAAGGGTTGGTTCGCTACAGGGCTTGTAATTATTCGTTCGAAACGTTCTCGTGTGAATCAGCCGGATGGAGCGGCGGGGGCGAAGGGGGTGGTGTGTGGTGGAATATTTAGGGGTCGATACTCAGAGGATCAGGGATGCATTGTTGCGGGATGAAAGACTGCATTGTGTCTGTGAATGTGCATCCCTCATGCGGTGCAACCAGAAATGATATGTGCGAGCAACAGATCGTGAACATATTGCAATATCTTTCTTTCACTTTTCGTGAATCCGTATTGGAAATGATGGATTCGTTGCTGAACAACCGCCGTTTGACTGGCGCGGTTTTGTCGAGCACGTGAACAGCGTTCGGGGATTAGCGTGGAAATCTGTTTTCAATTGAATCGCCACTTTCTTATGGCGTTCACGTAAGCTCTATTGAGTCTACGAAAGGAGGGACGACGAATAAAACGTGTGTATCTTGTATTTCGGAGCAGGTCGGGTCTATCATTTTGTCATTTGCTGAACGAAAAAAGGAAAACATTCATCAAACTTAATTCGAAGAAAATAACAAATTTCAAAATTATTGCACAATGTGTATTCACTCTGAAAATCAACAATTCGCTTGAAAATTATTAAAACTAGTATGAATTAATTATAATATACGTTAATGAGGTGATATACTGCACCCAACTGCTATTGGTATTCACCGAATACAATGCTATTTAAACTGATCAGCGAAGTTGTAACATAGTAGTTGGTACGCCTGACACATAATTATGTGTGATGTCACGCATGGTTAGGATGCAACATTACTCATTATTATAATGATGCATACACACCATGTAATTAAAATATGTTCCAAAGTAAACGTTTTTTTTTATGAAATTAATTCAATTTCATTACATTAAATTGAAGCTAAATAGTTTTTTGATACAAAAATAAATAAATAATATAAAATCAATATATAATATTTTATAGAGTAAATTCTTCTTAAAATTCATCATATTATATTCAAGGTGATGATCTAAGATTTCTACGCACTTAACAATGAAACGTCAGATCTTATATCCATTAAACCTAGTGTATCGTATGGCATACGACCAGACAAGTATTGTATGGAGATGTCAGACCTAATCAAAAGGTTACCTCATTGTACCGTTCATTCATTGAAATATCCATTAATTATTAAATTGATCCTTTTGTTATAAGTCCTCTCAACAATTACGTCAACTGTTTAAAACAAGTTTAACAATTACGTCAACTATAAAAAATATTGTCATTTAGTTTTGCACGTGCGTTCCCAACGTTCGTTAGTGTTCATTCTGTTTTTTGTTATCTATGTCTATACATTAAATGAAGTAATGCAGGAAAACATAATACTATCTTTGCCTATCTATATATTTGCAGAGCTATATTTGGAGTTTTAAACTAATTTGACGTTAGTACATACATACAAAAGGAACTGACCTCGTTTATAAAGAACTCTGTTCCCAGTGCGAGATTTTTAAGTTTAGAGATGCTATAAAGTTTCCCTAGGTCTAAAATAAATTGATTCAATTAGTGAGTAAATAAAGAAACAAAAACCTACATATTATTTATCTAATTAATGATATGCAAATAAATCATTATGATATATGAGAAATGTTTCTCTTTTTGTGAATTTTTGGCTGATATGAATTAATATACAATAATTATTGGTTTTATTACAAATTGAAGTAAAAAATTCGTTAGTTGAGTTTCACTAATCTAATTTAATCTAAAGTTAGTGATTTTGAATTTATTACTCGTTGCAAATTATTGGTGTATATAAGCAGAATATAAATTAAGCACGCAAGCGACTATTTACTTCCTTCAAGTTATATATAATAAGCAATAATAAATTTATTAGATAATAATTTTTTTTTTATAAATTAATCAAGCATTTGATTGGTTTGGAGATTTTCGTATTTAAGAAATTGTGAAATGCACGTTGGATAATAATAGAACATGCAACACATAAATCTGAAGTGGTTTGTCATTGTGTAAAGAATGGAGGATAAAATCTCTAATGGCGATCTTAATTAAAACCGCGTGAGATTTTAATTAAGTGTGAGGAGAGATTAATTCGAGCAGCATCCACCAGACGGGATGTCGGTTTGACGTAGGATGGAGCAAATTGGAGCAAGCTGAAAGAAAAAAGAGATGGGATGGATGGATGTGTATGGTGCGCTCTTTATTTAAATGTCTCCGAGCGGTATTCCAAAGGGTAGATAGAAGCTGTTATTCAATTTTCCATCATTCGGATCGTGACCATTTTTCTTTTCATTGCAAATGGAAAACGTGCCAGGCGCACACACACACATACAGCAGTATGCTAGGATTGTTCTTCCTATTAACATTTCTACTTGAAGGAATGCAATTTGCGCGCGGTAGAGTGAGGGACAATGCAATGCTGGATCAAACCGAGGTCCTCCACTTTCTACAATACGTTCAACATTGTAAGAGATGCATACAATATTGTTGTTGTTGGAAATATATAATGAGCGTACCGAAATTTCGATACACAAAACACGGTTAAAAGCCTAATAATGTACGGTTATTGCATTGTGTGTGCACATGCGAGAGTGTCATACTTATTGCTTTTAGCTGCGGGTAAATTGAGTAATCAGAATGCGCACGAAGAGTACCACTTTCAGCAGCAGTAGAAAGCTTCGACCATCAATTTCGATCAATAATCATAAATTGATAAAATTAATGTTTGTTCGTTGGTCGCGTTTGCATGCAAAACAGTTTTAAATTGATTCCATTTAATTAGCAGTTCTATTCTCGACGACGCTGATTTATCCTACATAAAGTAAACTTTTTTTTAGATTTAATTAACAGAATAAATTTTGCCTCTCCCTTGTTAATTCTGTTTTCTATCGGTTTAGATTATATAAAAAAGATGTGACAATTACATTAATTTGGTACTTTTGTAACATATGCGTAAATTAGAGATAGGATATGTACGTGATGCTTTATATGAACCCACATACAGCTTTTTGGTCGTCACGCGTGATGAATGCAGATAAGCCCCAAAGTCTGCGAGGTACAGCAATCACACACGGGCCGTTATCAAGGGATTTTATTTTCATTCCCATTTCCCCCCCAGAATATATTGATTGGGACGCGCTCAGGATTTTGATGGATTAATGCCGACGCAGCTGAATTCAGTCGGATGTAGCGAGAGGACCACCTGGGAAGGATTGGTCGTACATCTATCTACTACCTAACAACACTGACATTGCACCTAGAAAACTCTTCGAAAACTTACTTTGTTTCTTCTTGGAATATTTTTTTGTGGCTGTCGACGGCGACGCTGTGTCTGCTCGAAGGCTGTCTCCTCGCCAAAGTCTCCGTTCCATTCCCTACATCGAAAACAAAGACAAATATTCAGATTAGTACAAATCAATCGGATACTGTGATAGTAGTATGAGAAAAAATATATACGGATAAAGGGGATACATTGAGCTGCAGCTCTGGGGAAGACAGGAGAAGAATTTGTTTTGGATTCGAGGGGAATGCGATTCCATTTATCTTACAACCCATTCAATTTTCTAAACTGAAATAAAAAAAAATAGAATAGAAGTAGTCGTTGCTGTCGTCGACGGATGGTGCTCCAGTATGCAACTGAGCGTATCATGTGAAGAGGGTTTTATTTTCTTCTGATCCTCGAAATGGATATGCAATTCGAGATTAAAGACGAAAAGCGAATAAACAGTCATAGCATAAACAAACAATTGACAGTTCCATTTAATGATTACTTGATACAGTTCTATAAATAATTGTACAAAATATAGTATCTGTTTTTATTAAACCCAATTCATCTATGAAAATTATAAACATTGTATGTTATTAAGATTTTTTTAGTCTATCTCTGTATTATTAAAGTAAATAGTAATAGTACATTTTGTTTTCGCCCATTTATAAAAACAATTGAATTGAATCAATAACAAAGCCTTTCCGCTTTAATTAATACTAATTGCAAAAGATAATTTGATTAGATTCGAGTGTAATCAAAAGATAAGTTAGTTGCGGAACAAAATTTGCTTCTGTTTATTTTGCGGAAAGGGATAAAGCTCGGGCGGAACGAGATTAGTTTCAACGTAAAAGTTAGATTGTTCCAACGCTCGAACAAACAAAAAATTGTGTTATGGAAACGCAATTAACGTAACATAGAACTCATGTCTTTTCTATAAAGTCAATTACGTAAATTGAATTACAAAACTTAAATGCTTATGTTTGTTATAAGCAGAAATCCGAAATAATTGCTTCTATATTCTGTTAAATTTAATTATATTATAAAGAAATATAAAATTAGTGAATTTTATTCATATGATAGATTTTTTGTTAAAAATATTCAGAATTATGTCTCATGTAACGAATAGTGTGGATGCAACGTTACTCTAATTGTACGAAGATTTGTCAAGCTAAAAGGATAATAAATGTCGCTTCGAAATGATTGTGTTTTTAGATAATGTCCACGTTGAAATATTCTTAGGGTGAGGCTTTTTACAAGAATTTGTTGCGTATGCAGAATGACAATGACCGTTGGCTTAATACTGATGTAATTAAAGATAAGACTTTTGAGAAATGTCCATACAAAAAAAAACTTATTAACTGATTAATAATGCATTACCATTGTAGTATTTGGAACGAAGCATTGTCAGGCTGGACATGATGGCTGTGCGATGCGAGGAGATCTTGACTCCAAGTTCTTTGATGTCCGCTTCGCTGAAGTCTATCAGATCTTCAACGCCCTGGTAGTCGGTGAAGTCATCCAGGTACTGTTCAAGGTCGAGCGCTCGTAGCCAGCTGTCGATCTCCAGATGTTTTCTCTTCACTCGGGCTGGAGTGTCTCCATTTCCTGAAAGGACAACGCTTACTCGAGATTTCGAACGCAGCGAAATCAGCGACCCGAAACGCGTCCACGACAAATCTGCAACAAGAAAGTAAAGATATTTAAAGCGTTTTCCTACTTCGCACTCGTTGCGATCAAATCATAAAGCAAACAGATATCTCGGAATCCTCGAATCGAATCGTAACTCAAATATTTTATTTTCGTTTTTTTCTCTCTTCGAGCGCGTATTCACAAATGACATTTCCAGTTTATTTTCCTCTCCAGAGCACTCCAGATCTTTCGCTGTGCGAGCGCTTCGAAAGAGAGCTTTCAATGTTCAGCCACTCCATGTATATTCATCGAGGATGAAGACTGTTGCAGTCCTTTGCTTACAGAATTCCTTTACAATGCGTATATTAAAAACTAGACAAAAGGTTTTTTGTTTGATTGTATAATAATTCCTCTAAAGCCACAAACAAATACGCTACACTCCATTTATATTTAACATTTTATTCAAGAAAATTATAAATATATAAAAATAAAGAAAGAGAAAATATCTTTAATAAAACTCAAATGTAATCTGTATTCAAAGAAAAATAACAGTGCAAAAAGACCTATAGTCAATAGCCCTTTGCAGCAGTTAACATTTTGTTTTATTATTATAATTCTATGGAAATGTTTAATTTTGTATTTTTTATTGTTGCTATAAATATTATTATTAAAATGAACAATATTAAAATCCAAAATTTCAAATTTTATTCAAGTACATTCACTCTACATTTAAAGGTAATACATTGGAATTATTGATAATAAAATTTTATCTGACAAATTCATATCAAAGTTATTTAAATAACTTTTTTTTTATAATATATCATTGAATTAATATATAAAAACAATATGAATGTGGACTTAGTTTAGTAAAATTATGACAAAGATTTATCATATTTGAAATTTTGTAGATAATATGTTGTTCGTAATCTTAACTCGGCGCCAGTTTTATATTCGCATCATAAGTTCATGACGTTTGTTGTCGCCAAATAAGTTTTTTCCTGAGTTTTCACATTATCGTAAACTATAAAGCAAATAATTAAATTGTATTTAATATTTGTTTACTGGTTGACTTAAATATAATGTACAGACTTTGGAATTTCAATAAATATATCTTATTTGTATACTAATTAGTATTACATTAATTTTATGATTAAAATTGATTTTAGTCATTTTATTTTCTATTGATGAATTAACTTACTCTTGTTTCATCTTCATTATTTGTCATCATTGATTACTTTACACAATGTATATTAAAGAAATCATATTTTTTACATGATTTATACAAGCAAATAATGTTTCAGTGTTTATATTTACCAAATAAATATAGACGTTCATTGGGAATTACTTTATGAGTCTTTAAAATTACCATCATTAAATTTAAACTAAAAAATGTAATATTATAGTGAGCATAGACTTGCATAAAATTGATAAACGAGTACTTAAGAAAGTTCAGCATTGAATATAAGTTGGATGAAACAAGTATAAAAGCGCAAAATTTATATAATGAGAGGCGAAAGGTGAAGCCAAGCTGTTATAAATTAGGTAAGATCGCATTTCCATGTAATTACAGCGTCAGCATTAAATATCCGAGAGATTTCAATTACCTTAATTGTAGCAATTACTTTTTCTTGAAATATGTTCTTTATGTAAATCTTTTTATACATTTTCCCCATTTCTCGTTCATTTTGCATAGAGCACAGGCGTTTGTTGAGGGAATACATTATTATTCGCGTTTGCATTTGCCCATTAGCTTCTATTCATAAAAGGCTCTGCATACGTTTCGAATATTTCACAATTTCTGCGCTGCACTGCAAACTGCTTCTCGCAACGAAATGCCGCGTGAAATTGTATTCATGTAAATAAAAAAAAATAAAGAGAATTTCTCTGTAATTGATTGAGAAATGGAATCGGTTTCATTAGCGTTATTATTCGCATGCACCATTAAATACGTTTTAAGTGCTCCGAACTGCAATAAATTATAATTTTAAGCGAAACAATCGGTGGTTCGCTCATGCCGAGCGCGCACATAAATTTCGCCTTTCTAATACTCCGTTAATACATCTTCATTTACTGTGAAATTGAAATTTTATTGTAGGTGAATGTGGATGTAAAAGGCCATTTATTTCATAGAAGCTTGCATTCAGAGCTAAAAGCATTTGTTTCTGTTATGTCATAAAACGCAATACACTTGAAAAGCAAATATTTAACACTTTCAACAACAACAACAAAATAAATTTCTCCACATTGTTAGGAAAGTGTTTTTTTTTGTTATACTCAAATTGCAACATCCTTGATGTATCCTCAGACTTATTACTTTTGGTTTTCTATTTATCACTTATTTATTATACCGTTGCCCCTGTTGCAATTCTAAAGGTTTTTACATAATATGCGCACGAG